ATTTTGAGATCATACAGATCAATATTAATGAGAAACTCACGTCAAAATCTCGTGGTCAGTCAATCCAATCACAATATTTAGTATTATGCAAAAAGTAATATAATTGGAACTTCAGAGTTTGTATAAGAGCTTTTGTGGACAATCTGATAAAGTATGAACATATTGTACTATTCAAAAAAAAAAGTCAACTATTTTGATTTATATGACTATTTTTAAATATCAACTCAAAACATTATCTTGTCCCCTTAAAAATGATAATGGCTTTCACTCACTGAGCATTAGTTGAAATTCGATTACATTGGATGTTTCCATCCTTTTTATTTTATAACTTGAAAAAATATGCAATTTACCGAGCTGCATATCGAATTAAAAATGCCATTATAAAATGATGCGAAGCGGGCACGTTCTGGAGATTTGCCCATATATGCTTGAAATAGCATCAGTATTTCAGTACAAGTGTGCGTATAAGGGTTCCTGGTGAGGCTCAAGCGCGAGCAGTCTACGCTCGTACATCGTGTCGCGTCAATCTCTGAGAATTAATAGGTGCAAAGATGCAGTGCTGCAATGCAGCCCATCGCAGCGACTCGCTGGCGAATCTACACGCGTACACACGTGCAGGAGCAGCGACAGTAGGCGCGCAGGTACGAAGCGATCGCGAGCCATAAGTATATGTGTATAAATTTACGCACTGCTTCGTCCAATTACACAAAGCCAATACGTCGGCATTTTGCGGCAGGAGTCGGAGCTCGAGCTCGAGAGCTGGCCCGGCATACCGATGCGCAATTTGTTTCTCCTCGAGCCACCGCTGCTTCTCAGAGGCTTACTATACATACGCAGGTTCCGCGCGAGCACTCGTGACTTTTTGCGCGCGCGTGTCACACGCACTGCTCGAGCTCCACCACTGACGACCCTTCCGAGATATTATATTATTCCGGGAATGCGTAACGAGAACGCGCAGCCGAGATCCGACGATTAAGCCTGGCCTGTCGAAGCCCCGATAATTCATTGCGAGCCAGCCCGACGATCGCAATTGCGCTCGAGTCTTGGGCCATTCGCAGATCAATCGCCCAGCTCGATACCGAAGCAACTTATATATTTTTCGAGCCAATTGACTGTTCAAAACTATCCAAAATGCAAGCCTGATCATCGGCTATGACAAGACGGATCCTATGAAAATTGTGCGCCTGTCAAGGAGTTTTATTGAATTACGCATAAAGATATTTTAGTAACGGTACGTTCGGTGCGGTCGCACGAGATAGTTGAACTATCGCAGAATGATATTTATCCGAAATTGTAATAAATTGCGAGCATATCAGGCAGTTGGTGGAGGAGGAAAGTCGGCATATTTGCCAAAAATGTCCTCGTGCTTGGCTATATAATAAAGTGTACTTTTGATTACCTCGTAATTTGCAGGTTTACAAAAAAGGCTGCGCGCAACTCCGGCCATACTTTTCGTTTATCTTTTGTATGCTTATACAGTCGCTAAGTCTGCGCTCTTGCGAGCTGCGCGACTCGCTCTATATTCGTATATGCGGTACTATTTTCTCTTACTGCGTTTCATCCTACATATATAAACTTTTTTTTCTTCGTTTTCATTCGCTGGGATAACAAGAAGTTCGAATTGTGGCTCGACTGCGACGACGACTGCTGCTGCTGCTGCTAGCAGTAGCACTAGTAGTAGCTATGATACGACGGGAAGCTATGACGACGTCGTCCTCCTCGGCGACGTCGCTGCTGCTCGTAAAGGATCTCCCCCCCCTTCCTACCTAGTCTCTATACTCTGTTCTTTGGCTGGTACTCATTCTGAGGTACGAGGCTGTCTCTTGCGAGGACGAGAAGCGACTCTTGCAGTTTCGCGATGTGTGTGTGTGTGTACCGTAAGTCTATCCGAGTTCGCCTCTTTCTTTTCTACGATGCTGACGCGAAAACATCCCTGTGTCACTGCTACTGCTACAGTTTGTCGCAAATCACACTTTTTTTCGCTCGCGAGCAAGCAACGCTTACGCTGTACGAGATACCAGTCTCTCTTTTCCTTCTTTCTTGTACTTGGCTTCGCCCTCTCTCTCTCTCTCTCGGCAGCAACGGCTTTCGCTCACCCTTTCCACGTATAAAACCTGACTTTCTTTTATATTATACCGTAATGTAGTGTACCTGATGGCTTATCGTTTTGTTGTTCCTACGCCCGAGCGAGCTGCTGAGCAGAGAGAGAGAGAGAGAGAGAGAGAGAGCCAGACGCAGAGAGGGAGGGTCAGGGATGCAGTGCACGGCCGCCACTTGAACGCTTTATGTCAATAGGGCATCGTACGATAAGAATGTCATGCTATTTTAACGCTACCGTATCTGCTGCATTTTATGCTATACACAGCTCCAGAAATTTATATCTCCTCTGTGTGCTTCTGCTCTATACACACACAACACGCGTTTACACTGCACCTATATATCTATACTACTGCATGTCGTACGATGTATATTATATTATACCTACACATATACACAAGCGTGTGTATCGATCAGACGGAATTGTAAGTATAAACTTGTACGAGAAACTAAGTATGTACTTGTGCGATAGCTCGATGTTTCCGTTGCCCGATTTTTCTTCCATCGAGCATTTCTGCAATCAGTTCATTTTTTGAAGCCTTTAGGTGAGATTTCAAAAAATTAATACAATCATTGCCTCTAATTATGTGACCAATGATCATTCAATAGGTTACAAGCCAACTTGGAAAATGCACTTGTATTTTCTTCGCTACGTCACAAACGATCTAAACGTTGGATTCTAAAGGACCTATCAACTTTTCTCGAGAAAATTCATACACCCCAGCGCTTGAATTTCGTTTAATTAAAAGAGACTGTTGTACGCATGCATTCTCGTCGCACTCGAATCACTCTGCATTCGTGCAATGATCGTGCGAGTAGAAAAAGTGGACCGAAAAATGAAATGTATTGGCAATGCCACACCGCTACATTATGTATAGAATCGGGAGCATCGGATCAGTTTTACTGTTTAGCTTTGACTTGACTGGACTTTGTCTTTATCTATTCTTTTCGCATGCAGAGATAAGGCATGTGTGCGCGTGTGAAAGAGTAGCGTATAGTTGGATTCCACTGGTCGGATGTTTTGTGCCGAGAGAGCGAGCAGCGAAATGGTCCACTATGCGGCAGCTTGGCTACTAAATCGACTCGAACGCGCATGCACTTTTAATTGACAGGAATGTTTAGCCGTAATGAACATCTCGACACGAGAGAGGAGGAGAAAATACACGAGTTTGAAATCTTCGCTCTTGCCATTGCGCGTCCCCGTATATCTTATATACCGAGACCGAAAAAGAAGGAGAGAGAGACAGAGGGTTATACTAGCGTCTGCTTTCGGTAAGAAAAAGAGAAAAATCGATCGAGCGAGCATCGAGTGAGAGAGAGAGAGAGAGAGAGACGGCGACGGAATGAAAATAAAAAGAAAAAATGTATTCAAGAGACGAGAAGGAGCGAGAATCAAAAAGGACGGCGAATTAAGAAGATACAGTTTGCACATTATACATTGCGTATTAATCTTAAGGGCCAGCTATCTCGTGAAATAATTAAACTTTAGCTTTCGGCCCAGCACTTTTTTATTAGTATTATTGTACTTTGGAGTTGGATTTTCATAGGGGTTAGCTGGGGAAACTTGTGCCCACGTCAGGTCAGTCAAGAGAAAATAGAATAAAGAAGAAGTTGAAAAAAAAGTTAAAAAATAAAGAATGATAAGGCGCAATAATGGGATAACAAATAATAGCTGGAACACAGAGGCAAATTAGCATTGTATACGCGCGCGGTACTTTTATTTCATTGCGTCGCGCAGTGGAATATATGAAATTAAAGTTGAAGCCGTAGAAATACATACGAGCTGCTGCGGGAGCACGAGTCGGGGAAGAACAACAGGAGCATAGGCATATAAAAGCAGTGTCCTATCACCCAGTCGCATCACGACCCCGGCAAACCTCAAAAGCACAGCTCGACAATACTTGTAAGAGAGAGAGAGCTGCAGCCAAGAAGTAGAAGGAGAAGCAGGTCGCTTACGAGAAGTAGCAGCAGCAGCAGCAGCAGGAGCAAGTGCAGATACAGAGACACGCCGACGGGGCATAAACATTGGAAGGGCTGCTGCTGTTGCTGCTACCGTGACCCTGCCGTACAATAATAATAAGCATCGCTACATACGATAGGTATAGGCGCGTATAGGATACTCGTTGAGGCCGCGCGACAAAGACGAGGCTGCTCGAGGCTGCTCGAGAGAAGAGAGAAGAGAAAAGATCGTTTCGAACGGCGCCGGTCGCCGCCGCCGCGGCAGGCGTGGCTCGACGCGCCAAGCCAGTCGTTCTCCGAGCGCTCCGACGCCGAGGAAGGGATACTCTACGACGCTATAGATCACTCGTGGCTCCGCCCTCGGGACGCTCGGCCTGGGAGGGGCCAAGCCAGCGCCGAGCGAGCCGCGATCGTCCGCTAGCGCCACCTCGCGTCCTGCCGCCGAGTCGGGCCTCGTCCGTGAGAGCTGACTCGCGCGCGTCTGTGTGCGACTGACGGACGAACTGCCGCGAGCCAACTTCGTGCCGGCTTTTCTCCTCGCGAAAACGACTTTTCGCCTCCTTCCTGAGACGAAACCTCTGACCCACGAGAGACGTCCGTGCGTCGATCAAAGCTCCAAGTCGTAACATAACTAGCCTAGCTCTGACACTACGGGCACCGACTTGCTGCTGCACTTACTCTTCGGCGTATCTGTTATTTACGAGAGATTCTCAGGACGAACGTCACCGAGCCGAGTCATTTGGGGATCGATAACCGCTCGAAGGCGAATATTGCAGCGAGTTAAGCTCGTCTAAGCATAGTCACCTAGCCATGCTCCGGGAGAAACTATGTTTTTAGGTTATTTTTACGACTTTGACGAGTTTTGAGGGAAATTTTAGTTGTATACGTGAAAAGTAGATAGCATGCAGGCAAATGAGAGACAAATAAGAGCGTAGCCTACTCACCTCGGGGGCCCAGATGCTGGTAGCAGTCGTGAAATCGATCTATTTCGAGGTATATCGGTGCAGCGGAGCAGTTTGGCGGCACGAGGCGAGAGATTCACTCGCACGACGCAGCGGCTGCCCGTAGTTTCCGAGTCGTCCGTCACGCGGTGTATAGCTCACGCGGGGCGGGCAATAAAGCACGCGGCTGGCAGCCAGCTGGAGGGGGTCCATGGACACGGCACTAGTCACGCAGCCCACTCGCGTGTGTAGCCTAGCACGAGGATCTTTCAGGTTGTTAGCCGGGCCCCGCCTTTGCCTCGTGCTCGCCATGTGCTCGATCTTCGCTGCTCGTCCTCTACCTTACACCTTTCTCTTATCTTTACTCTAATTCACTCGTCCTTTTCCTAAGACTTTTCGCAATTGTATTTAATTAATTCTCCAACTAAATATATCCAGACTGCGACGTCCTTCGATCGCCCTTGATGCATTGTCCCTCGCACACTCCTTCCTAAACATATTCATCACTCTTTCCCATATTACTCTCTTGTCAGCTAGAATTCGGAAAATTAATTTTACTCAATCGTTTTGTAAATTATTTTTATATTATTTCAAGCTTTGTTTTCATAGCCATGAGATACTTTATCTTCTCGTTCTGCTTTATAGGTAAATATGTCCTCTTCTGCATGATAGGAGGTACGTTAGATGAACAATTAAAACATCGTAAGTATTATGCAAGATGATTTACGAAAAATCTTTTCATACAGATGGGGTCGTCGAAAGTTGCAAAGCTACGCTTCGATAATGAAAAAATCTCATCGATCGGCCGAGCCAGCGAAAAAGGCGAAAAAAGCCAAGACATGCACTTTATGCAGCGAAGAGAAGCGAGTGAAAAAATCAGTGTTCACGTGGCGGCCAGCGACTCGTACGATTCTCGAGCAAGAGCATGTAGGACGAGTGTCGAGTATATAATAGCGCGAGCACACAGGACTGCAGCAGCGGAGCTGCCGTTGGAGTTGGCTGCGGAGTTTAAAGAAGGGGGGAAAGACGCGCGCCAGCGGCCCTCCAGCGGCTCATCGGAGTTCGCAGCGGCAGCCGTGCGCTAGAGGATACAACGCGTTACCGCCCCTCCATCGCTTGATCCGCTGCTGCTATACGTACAACTACAGTCGTGTGCGTACGCGTATACATCGAGTCGCGAGCGCGCGCGAGATTCGCGCTACCGTCGCGACGGCCGTATACACCGGCAGGAGTCAGTCAGCGCTGGACCGCCGCCCGCACTGTTTCGCAATCGTGACTTTCTCTCTCTCTCTCTCTATTTCTCGCTCGCTCCTCTCCTCTCCTCTCCCCCCCTCCGCGCCTCAGGCTCTCTCTTGGTAGCTCTCGATGTTTTGACAGCTGCGACTCGCGCCCGCTACTTGACAGCTGTCAGTCGAGTGTCGGACTCGCTGCATCCAGTACGTATAAGCCGATCGCTACTTTACGTGTGCGTGTGTGTGCGTGCGCGCGTCTACCTGCTAATAGCGTCTCCCACCATTTTGCATGCCATCCAACTGCTACACCTCCCACTTGGCTCCATTCCGAGCAAAGAGCGAAACGTTCTCGATTTTGTCGAACCTCCCTTGTCCCCTCCACCGGGGCTAATTCGTCGTCTAGCGGACGCCAAGCGTTCCGTCTGCTCAAAGGACCCAACGATACTTATCTCTGGATGCGCTGGGCCTTGCTCCATTCTCTACCGTATACGATATACTTATTAATATTCATCATATATGTATATATGACGTATGGTATAGCACGTGTACGTGGAATTATATATGACATATGTGGCTCATGCATTCCTGATGGATCGTGACTGAACGTCGAGGCACGAATAAAATTCCGGAGCTCTTATCGATTAGCACCTCATCCGATTTGCCCAATCTTTCGCTTGAAGAGCTATAATTTCTATGGAAGTATTTATCGGAGACGAGGCGACCAATGTGACAATCCTCCGATCTGACCGTAGGCGTCGCTCGTCTCGATCCGCGGCTCACTTTTGAGCCAGTACCTCGTCGGCACGATTCAGTGAGACTCTCCTAGCCAAGTGTTGACGCGTGAATATTTTTCTTTACAGTGACAAAAAGTGATGCAAAATAATTAACAAACACGAGTGATCTAAAGGCATATTTTCAGCAATTTGTTTTCAGTTTATCGAACGTGTTGATGTGATTAATCATTGCTCAGTGATTTGAAACAACAACAGCTATTCGAATAAGATTGGAAAATAAATAAAGCAGTGTTGAGAGTGTTTTGAGCGATTTTGAGCCATTGTGACGATGAGGCGACTACTCGCCTCGACGAACGTCTTCGACTAGTGAACACGTGCGTCTGTAATTGTGACTCTTGCTACGTATGAGCCCTGAAGAGCGAGCCGAAGCCCTGCCGAAATCAGCTGAACAGCGGCCAACATAGGCTTGAACGAGGAGCAGCTCGGACTCGTCGCTGTTGTTGCTCGCAGCCGATCGCAGATGACCCGTAGGAAACAGCACGCACCTCAACGCATGAAATGTAAGTCGCCGAGACGCGTCCCTGCCATACTTTGCCCGTACTCTAATTTGCTTTACTTTGACGCAGCCAAACGAGTTTTTAATTTCGCGCGTCGACTTTTTAGCAGTTCATAGAAGAGCTATTATAATCGATATTGCTCGAGAATGGAGCACATAAAAGTAGGAGAAATCATGTTTACGAGGCCAATTCACAGCTCGATCGTTAAAAAGTCTCCCGGCTTTTACCTCGGTGTGTTCATACCTGTGTCGCTGCGCATGCTGGTAGCAATCGAGCCCACTCCAGTACCAAATATTTCGCTACGAATTTCTTTCGTCTAAATTAATCATAAAATCAGCGTTATACACGATCGACTATCACTCTTATTGGATACGAATGGTAATTCATCGGGCGCGCTCGCGACGAGAAATAATATTACGTTACAAATTGCATAACAAGCCGCCGAGCTCGTAGTCACCTCGTATTTCTAGCGATAGTTCCGCGAAGTCGAAATGATCAGGAAGAAATTAGGCCGCTTCTTTCCGCCCTGCGTTACATTGTAATTGTCGCGTCAAGACTAGTAATCCGAATCATTCAATGAAAATAATCGCATATTCAAATATTAAAATATTAAAATATTGAAATATTAAAATATTGAAATATTAAAATATTAAAATTGCTCCAAAGTTGATGCACAATTAATATGAAATAGAAAAAATGAAACCAGAGCTCGAGAACATGTACATGCATAGGCATGATGTATGTATGTGCAGGAAGAGCTACGAGTCATGCGCCGTGCTACCTTTCTCCACGTGGGAATAATCCGCGCGCAGCGCCATATAGCCCATATAGCAAGATGTAAACAAAGTCTCGAGGCAAGCTCCGTGTATCTGAGAGCAAGTACAACACGTGCAGCTAGTTGCGCTTTTCCCTATTCAGCTATTAGTCCTATTTCGATTTGCTCGACTCTCTTTAGACTCGAGCGAGACTGATAACTCGTGACTCGTCGAGAAACTCGTCGCTTCTGCTCAACGCCTCGCGCCGTTACACACCCGATGCTATTGATCCTATTGACTTTTTCTGTAAAACCAGCCTGTTGCAAATTTAACGTTGACTAGGTTTACCTTAGTTCGATCTAGACTACAAGTAAACTATGTGTTGATGCAATTTAACCTGTAGCTTCGTCGGCGACTAGTCTTAACCTGGCATAACACGATCAAAGTTGCAGCAGCTGATGCTTGGAATGAAAATGCGCGCATGTATTTCAAATTGTTGCGTCATTATTGAAAAGCCTTCGCGTGTCTTATAAAGTATACTTTGAGCGAGAGAGAGAGAGAGAGAAGAGTCGCTCGCTGCGATTACATATGCTCGCGCGTATAATTTTTAAATAAATCCGTGCGCTGTCAACTGATAATTTCATTTTGTGCCATCTTCTTTTATGTAACTCCCGTGTCATTTATAATCAAGATTTCCCTCCTCTCTCTCTCTCTCTCTCTCTATCCATCACGATATGATGGAATTCCCTCTCACGCGCCGTATACGCGTATATATATGGCCGCGCGCAGCATATACTTTCGATTCTTTCTTGTACGTGTATTTATAGCATATGTATATGTTTATCAAAAAGGCAGAGAGGCGATAAATCAAGGCATGCGTCAGAGCGAGCCTCGCAAGCGACTGGTCAAAACGGCACGGGAATAAGAATTTACGTCGAGCGATTCGATTTTAATAATGCCCGCGTACTGCCGCCGCTGCTGGCGTTGCTGCTGCTGCTGCTGCTGCTGTTGCGCCTCTCCTTCCCTTACCTATAAACATGTATACGTATATATTGTATATATCACTTTGCTCTTGAAGCAAAATTTATGTTTCCACGGAAGACAATCCGTGAGTGATGAAAAAAAGAGAGAAGAAGACTCGAAATCGCTGATCCTGCGATATTTTATTTGTTCGATACGTCTTTTGCTCGAATATACGCGAAACGTGTATAGTGCCTGACCGGCCGATCTTTCCAACGTAAATCTGCTTTTTCTAATAAATTTCTTAATCCGACGAGTCACCAGTCAAGCAGACTTTTTTTCCATCAAAGACTCGTGCTCAAACAATGCAAATGATATTTACGTGTTTGCGTACTCGAATTTTTACAAATAAAAAGCCAAGGCTGCTTTTCGGATCGACGCGCTCAATTGATTCGATTGCATAAATGCGCGAGATTTTCATAGGCATTAATACCTGCATAATGCTCCGAAGCTGGTATATTACAAGTTGGATCGCATCGAGGGATATACATATGATAAAGCGGTCATAGATTTGAAAGAAAAGTAGCAGTTCTGTAGTGTGTTTATGGATGAATTGAAAGTGGAGGGAAAAATGCGCAAGATTTACGTTCGGTGGCGCGTAATTATAAGGAAGAAACGTTGCGAAAGATGAAAGAGCAGCGATGAGCTGCGCGTGGAGTACTAATATGGTCAAGAGTTTGCAGGAGCTCGTATCGGGTTTGCGCGGCGAGAGACGCGCGTGCATACCATTATACAGCGCTGCCGAGTAGTCGAGTAGTCAGCATTGACATTTGAATGTGTGTATGGCACGCGAACGAACGCCAATGAACGCCAATGATACGCGTACAATATGAAAGCTCCAACTGCAGCCATAATCTTGGAGCGTGCATACTTGCAACGATATTTGCACTCGTAGTATCGAGCCCCGAAAGTCTAAAAGTCGCTGGCTGGCATGTAGCTATACGCAGGAGAGGAGGTATAGAAAATCAAAATCTCCCTCTCTTCTTTCTCCCTTTCGGCTCAGCGAGTAATAAAATTTACAGTGCATTAAGCATCGATATTTTATCTCGGTCGCACTCGCTGCTCGGCTCTTGCGGGGGACGCGCGAGGCTCGAGCAAAAAAGCTTTAACTGCGCGTTGAGTGACGTCGCTGCTGCCGCTGCTGCCGTAGCGTCCACGATGAAAAGTCGTATTCTCGACAATAAAAGCCCAGCGAATGAAACCAGTTGGCATAATGCAACGAGCTCTCGGGCTTATTCTCGCCGCATACATATATATGCGGCACATTCGAGTCGAGTAGGAAAATTTTCGGGGGACTCGGTCCACGAGGCAATAACAATAACACTGCGCGCGGCAGCATATACATGAACATATTACACGTCTCTCTCTCTCTCTCTCTCTCTCTCTTTTGCTCGCGCTTGCAATTATGAAGATAAGAGCGTAAAAAGGCCACTCTCTAACGACCGCACCTTTCTCCGGCCGTGACCATAAATCAGTACGAGTGTGTGTATGTGTGTGATGTTGCAGTCGGAGATGCGCGAGCATATACGGCTGCGAATCGAGTTTAATTAAAAATTGAATTCCTGCGTTGTGTGCGTGTGTAGAGTCGCGAGACACGATACGAGGCACGTCTGCTGCTGCTGCTGCTGACGAAGAGAACGGAAAGAAGGAGAGAATTCCTCGGAGCCGTAGGTCGCACGGATGAACAAGTGGCGCGAATACGTGAGCGCCAAACGAGGCACAAAATTTGCCACTTCCATCCTCGAGTAGTCGACTCGACGACTCGAATAAAGCCATCAACGTTCCGCGAACGAGGCTCGCCGCCACTCAGGCCTCTCTTAACGTACAAGGTATATTATAGGCCTCAGGTAGGCAGCTCGTACTTATACTATCCAACTATATATAGCTATCATATACCGTAGCCTTACGATGTATGCGACGTTGTCATCGTCGTCAAGTAAATAAAATATATATAAACGCGCGCTCGAGCCGCGCGGGGTCACCATGGCGACGCTTAATTTCCAACGCTTAATTTATGGTGCCGATCTGCAGTTGAGCCTGCACGACGCATAATACCTACACATCCTTCTATATATGTACTGTGGCAGTTCTCTGGCAGCCGTACACAGCCGTACACAGCCGTACACAGCCGTACACAGCAGTACAGAGGAGGACTTTATTATTGTTGCTGGACGTTGCACGCGGGGATCGTTTGATACGAGCTGATCGCTGCAGCTCGCGCGAGATTTATTTCGCTCGTACCTACGCTAAGTTGAATAATAGCGTCTGTTTATTGCCCAAAGAGATACGTGCTCGTCTCTGCACTGCACTGGCTTGCGTGCCGGATGCCGCGGAGGATCGCCAAGACAACTTGGCCAATGGCCCCGGGGATGTCGGCCTCGATGACCCTCGTGTAAATAAATAAACGAATGCGACAACGCACCAACAACCGAGTTTAGTGTTAAATGCGTCGAGTGTGTCGAGGCCCGAGGCCGAGCAGGTACAGCTTACATCTGCTCCTATACAAGTCATTGGTATGAACTATTATAAAGCTTTTTAAGAGCTGCCATTCAACGAGTTCGCATACGTCAATGTTCTAAACTCATTTTCATTGACATTTTCAATGCTCCAAGTACATTAGAAAGTCAATTAAAGCTAATTGTCATACATACATATGAGCAAACCGAGCAAATGGTTTAGAATATTCAATCTGAAACGAAAGCGATAGCATAAATTCGACCTTGAAAAAGTTATCTATTGGCTCGTTGTTGTTTTTCGGCGAGCAGTCTCGCTAGTATATGTGCGTCTTTGTATAGTATAGCTGTTCGCAAGGTATAAGGTGCGCGTGGAGCGGTAGCTGTGCTGGGGAGCTCGGCTCGTCTCGATATTATATATTAAAACTTTAACCAAGTCTTTAAAGCGTATCCGATTGCCCAGCGGAGTTTAATTAGTTTTTTAAATACTAGTATTTCAAGAGTACAGTGAGTATACTGCTCACGAGCTGCGCATCTTTTTTACGAGGTTATTAAGCCTCGTCCACTTTTGCTGCTCGACATTATCCTTTTCTTCGCTCCACTCGTTCGTTTGCTTTACTCGTTGCAGGCGCCCACGCTTGCCACTTTAGCACACACACACACACATGGACTCCGCTGCTTGGCTTATACGTAAATGACTCCGGTACGTACTTTATGCACTAGAGGGCATTGTCCGTGCCGCTCATTGGCGAGCGTGTGACACGACTACTTCTCG